TGTGCAACACCCACTGCATCAGTTCAAACCACTGCTGTGTATTCCTCATCCCATGTCCCAGCCACAGCCCACTCCTCCTGCATCCATCAGGATGTGCCTCTCTGGAGGAGCCACGGGGTTGATGGATTCATCCCCAAGGTCTGTCTTGCTGCAGGAAAGAAGTATTGCACTTGTGGAGCGAAACACTGCAACTCCCAAATGCCTGGAGCCTGATGGGTGTGTGGATTTGAGTGTTTCCATCCCATAGGATTAGGAGGAGCACTGATTCCTGCCACTTGCCAAGGAGCCACCAAGCCCTGCAGTGCAAGTTCTCCACTTTCCAGTTCAAGAAAAGAAGGGAGCTTGCAGGGCACAGCTTGGAAACCTTCCCTGCCCTCTGGATCAAAACCTCCTGGAGGAGCCTGAGGTTCAGAAATAACCACAAACCACCCTTTCCTGCTGGGCAGCTGGGATTTTGAGTGGTTGCAGCTAAATATGGCACCATGTCAGCAAGGAAAGGGGGATTATTGCTCTCCATTAGTGAGAGGAGCATCTGCTCACACACATCTGTGAAGACCTCAGCTTTAGAGAGAATGTTTCCTTTATTTCTGTGGTTTGCACTTGAATTTTCCCCGTGCTCCTCATCACCTTTCACCAAATATTTCCTAATAAAGAACAAACAGGCAAACAAAACCAAGGAACATCAAGAAGCAATTTGTGTGGCTGGTAAAAAAACAAAACAAAACAAAACAAAACAACAAAACCAACCACCCAAAAGACAGGCAGAAGTGCACAGGAAAACACACTATATGGCTGTGCCAGTCTCACATTGCCTCTCCTCCTCCTCCTCCTCAGCTCCACTGACAGACAACAGCTGTAATCCCCTCCAGGTGGTGACAGGCCGTGTCTTCCCAGCCAGTACAAACGTGACAGCTCTGGAGCTGGTGGGAACACGTGTTCCCGTGCTGGGAGAGGGAGAGGGAAGCTGCAAGACCCAACAGGCACGTGAGTCACCCCAGCCGAGGGGAAATGCAAACCTGGGAGGAGAGAGATGTGACTGCGAGGGATCCTTTTCAGCTGTGTGCTTCCTTCAGGGATGCTCTGGGAGAGACTGATGGAGGAAGGAAACACCTATTTCAGCAGCATCTGTCTCTGGATTAACGCTGTGACTGCTCCCCAGCCCCTCTGAGTGGGAATATGGGGAGCAGGCTGTGCTGATGCAGAGCCCACACTGCCCCAACTGGGATGGGCACATGAGTGGCACTGGAACAGGCTCCCCAGGGCAGTGATCACAGCCCCAAGGCTGACAGAGCTCGAGGAACATTTGGATGACCCTCTGGGGCACAGGGTGTTATTCTTGGGGGTGGTCCTGTGCAGGACTAAGGGTTGGACTCGATGATCCTTGTGGGTCGCTTCCAACTCAGCACATTCTGTGATTCTGTGAGTCGCTGCCCAAACACAGATGGTGACAAACACAGACATGAGTGGGACAGGTCTCCTGGGCAGGGACTGCTGTCATCTCAGTTTTCATGGTTTCACAGTTGTATTTCTGCGTTCTTTTTGATTTTCTCTTTGCTGATGCTCTGAGTGAGGAACTGACTGAGTGGACGCAAATAGGGTGTGACATTATTGACTCTGTACAGGCAGCTTTAAAATGATCAGTCAACAGCTGGAGGAGAAATCCTGGGAAGTGTTTGCCCTTTTGCTACCCCACTAAGTTCCAGCAGCAGCTTTCAGAAGAGAAGGGTGATCATAGGATCACAGAATGGTTTGGGCTGGAAGGGACCTTAAAGATCATCTTCTTCCAAAACCCTGCCATGGGCAGAGACACCTTCCACTAGCCCAGGTTGATCCAAACCCTGTCCAACCTGGCCTTGGACACTTCCAGGGATCCAGGGGCAGCCACAGCTTCTCTATGCCAGGGCCTCACCACCCTCAAAGGGAAAAATGTCTTCCCAATATCCTATCTAAATCTACTCTCATTCAGTTTAAGACCATTCCTCTCGTGACTTTGGAGCCAACAAACACTTTTTAAACCTCCATGGGGTGACTGGCTTGAACTGTTGCCTGACAGCCTCCAAGTCAACAACATGAGATGCTTTTGAGCAACTACACCGGGAGCAGCTCTTCCCACATGAGACATTTTGGAATGGACTGCCCAGGGAGGTGGTGGAGTCCCTATCCCCATCCAAGGAATGACTGGATGTGGCACTCAGTGCTCTGGGCTGGGTGAAAGGTGGGGATTGGGCACAGGTTGGACTTGATGGGCTTGGAGGTCTCTTCCAACCTAATTGATTACGTGATTCCGTGATCTCCACCTGAGCAATTTATTTAGTGCACTCAGCAGGGAAAAATGTTCCTGCTGATGGTGTAGTTCCTCTCCCTCCTGACAAAGCTGCCTGTAGCAGATGAATCCCGCTCTTTGCCTCTCTCCCCCCACTGGTTATGATGGGAGTCTGGATGGTGGGATCGGAGGGAGACATTTCACCAGGAATGGTTCAAGTTAAGTCAATGTGTAACACTTCCAGGGAATGTCTCATTCCAAGATCAGAGCTAGGGTTACCAGGCATTGTTCTGGTCTTAATCCTGCGAGAATTGATGTGTCAAAAAGAAGATATTTCACTTTGTTCCTCAGAAAACCAAAATGGTCCTATCTATGATGTAGATCTCAGGGAAATGGTTTAGTGGGGGGGCTTGGCAGTGATGGAGTAACAATTGGACTTGATGGTCTTCATGGGTACAAAAGAAAAGAGGAGAGATTTAGGTTGAATATTGGGGGGAAATTCTTCCCTGTGAGCGAGGTGAGGCCCTGGCACAGGTTGCCCAGAGAAGCTGTGGCTGCCCCTGGATCCCTGGAATTGTCCAAGACCAGGTTGGATAGGGCTTGGATCAACCTGGGCTAGTGGAAGGTGTCTCTGACCATGGCAGGGGGTCAGGACTAGGTGGTCTTTGAGGTCCCTTCCCACCCAAACCATTCAATGATTCTATGACCTTAGAGGTCTTTTCTTACCCATATAATTCCATGATTGACTGAGAAACACCAAATAACAGGCTTCTTCCAGCAGCAAACACCTTTTCCCTGGCATCAGCAATGCCACAGCCTTCACCCAGTGTCCCCAGGCCAGGTTTTTAACTAAGTCATCCAGGGGTACCTGCTCACTTTACAAGACAGGGGTAGTCCCAGCCTGAATTCAAACATTTGGTTCCTTCCTGACCTGGAGAGTAAATCCCAGAGGGATCACTGATACTGTGCTGTCTTTAACTACTAACATAAAACTGGGAAAGGAGGATTCAGGAGGATATCAAGTCTTGTGTGAACAGTGGGTGCGTGAAATCATTTGCAATGAAATTTGGCTCATACAAGAGATATTCATTTCTGTGCAAAGCCCAGCACTGAGCTCATGCACAACAATTCCTGCTTTAACCTTCAAATGACACTTCAAGGTGATATTTGATGACACAGAAGGGATAGGACTGGCTTGTGGGGAAGGTGTAAGGAGCATCAGATACTCCAGTTGTGGGAATTCACCTGTAAGTGCAATGCTGAGACACCAGAAAGGCTTCAAGTATTTCTGTGAGGGGAGCAAGTTTTCATTTTCCTTTTGTGCTGGTTTTGGCTGGGGTAGAGTGAATTTTCTTCACAGTGGCTGGAACGGGTCTGTGCCTTGGATTTGTGCTGGAAGCACCGCTGATAACACAGGGATGTTTTTGTTATTGCTGAGCAGGGCTTGCACAGAGTCAAGGCCTATTCTGGAGGCTGGGGGTGCACAAGGAGTTGGGATGTCACACAGCCAGGACAGCTGATCCCAACTGACCACAGGTATATTCCAGACCATATAGTGTCATGTCCAGCATATAAAAATGGAGGGGGGAAGAAGAGGAAAGGGAGAGACATTTGGAATGATGCCATTTGTCTTCCCAAGTCACCCTCCGGTGTGCTGGGGACCTGCTCTCGTGGAGCACCTGCCTTTCCATGGGAAGCAGTGAATTAATTCCTTGGTTTCTGTGAATTAATTCCTTGTGTGTGTGTGGCTTTTGCTTTACCTGTGAAACTCTCCTTATCTCACCCCCAAAAGTGAGTTCACTCCTTTTTCCCACTGCCCCCTGGATACCGCCATGGAGGGAGTGAGGGAGTGCCTGTTTGGGGTTGAGTTGCCAACTGGGCTTAAACCTCAGCAAATGTACTTTGAAGCCAAAGGAGTTTCAACATTCAGTTTTAAGCTGGTACTTCAGTTTCTTGAGGTAGGGTTCATTTACACAATTTTAGGGGTGGATTCAGTTTATTTTATATCCATGACTAACCCAGTTGAAGATGCCCTGGAGCCTCCCTGACATTTACAGGGAGTTTCTGACGGCTCTGAACCTACAGGGGATCTGTACCCCTTCAGACCAACCCTGGGGTGTGATACTGGGATTCTCTAGGCCATCTCAACTGGCACTCAACATTGATGTTTGAACTGCACAGACCATGAGCTGTCTGAAAGCACATTTTAGATATAGAAATGGCCACAGAAAAAAAAAAACATGGAACTGAGACTAAGATGAGGCAAAATATCAAACTTGGAGACAGTCATGGCTCAACTGAGTTGCATCTAGAAAGAGGTAGAGGTGCAGTTCTGTCTGAGATGTCCTTGGAAACCCAAGACATCCCCATGAGAAGGCTCCAGGGAGACCTTAGAGCCCCTTCCAGTGCCTAAAGGGGCTCCAAGAGAGCTGGAGAGGGACTTGGGACAAGGGCTTGGAGGGACAGGACAAGGGGAACGACTTTAAGCTGAAAGACAGCAGGGATAGATGGGATATGGGAAAGGAACTCCAGGCTGTGAAGGTGGGGAGGCCTTGGCACAGGTTGCCCAGAGAAGCTGTGGCTGCCCTGGATCCCTGGAAGTGTCCAAGGCCAAGTTGGATGGGGCTTGGATCAACCTGGGCTAGTGGAAGGTATCCCTGCTCATGGCAGGGGGTTGGAACAGGATGATCCCAAAGGTCCCTCTTCCAACCCAAACAGTTCAAAGATTCCATGAGGCTCACAGATAGGGCTGCCCTTCTTTTGAGGAAGGCACAAATTTAACTTCTCTGTCTTGTGGATGGTCTTGGACTCGCTGCAGGATCTCAGTCTTTGTGAGAGGCAGCTCAGCTGAGATCCAGCTCTCCACTGACTCCTCCACAAAGAGCCCAGTTTCTCAGACACCTGAAATTAAGTGTGAACCTCTGCAGCTGAACCCAGTTCTTAATGTGAGTGAAGTGAAATCTGATCTGTGGAACCGGTTGGATACGAGTTTAAGAAATTGAGACTGAAAAAAATGAAACCAATACGAATGATTTGATTTTGAACATTGATTATTTCAACATGTCTGCAAACATCTTCACAAACCCGACGCAACACTACACACATACTTTTTCACCATACAGTTTAAGGCATTTTGTTTTCACCCTCTCTGTTTTCTTCTGCCTGCAAATTATTGATCAAATGGACTGCTTCCCTAGAGGTTTCCACGTGAATGCAGATGAGGTATGGTCAGACTTCTCCTGGCATTAGTTGGACATTTATTCAGAGATGTATACGTTGCCCCAGGGGAAGGAAACGAGCAAACAAAAAAAGAAACAATCTGGTAAAAAACCCATTTCTAACTGAAGTTTGCAGCTCTATCGTGGTTTGTAAAGTCCAACCTCTCCAATAAATGCTTAAGCCTCTTCCAGCTGTTTGCTGCAGCACAAATGGCCAAACTTTTTTGGTTTTGTTTTTGTTTTTTTTCATGTTAAAGGGAAAATTAGTTTTGATTTTGCTGGTTGTCTGCAAGGGCGAGGCACTGAACAACTGCAAATCCCGGCAGCTTCCAGACAGGGCCTCATGCAAAGCTGTCTGAGGGGATCTCAGATGGTTGTAAAGTGCTTAGATGCCATCACTGGCATAGTAAAGGACATCCCAAGGGATTGAACCTAGTTCTAAGTTTTTAAATATCATATTCAGCCACTTCTCAGATACCCTACGGGGGGGGTGAATTAACTCAGCTTCGTTATCTACCACTACAGGGAGGAGCACAGTGCAAACAGAGCAGGAAGAGGAGATCTACTGGAATGACCTTCCTGAGTGTTGAGCTTTTCCAGTGAAGCGAGGAATGAGCTCAACCTCTGCCAAAGGGAAAAAAGGGAAAATGGGGAACGTGTTGTGTTTTTTTTTAATCTCAGACCCTTTTTTGTGGGTATGGAGAAGGCAGGGCAGGCTAAGGTAGGGGAGGGAGGAAAATGAGCGTCCATCTCTGTGGGCTCTGACCAGACTTTGGCAACAAATCCCGATTTTGCCGTGTTTCCTTGGATTGGCAAATCTTCCCAGGAAAATGCTGTGCAACGGACAAAAGGCATCCCGAAGTCACTCAGAGATGGTGCCCAGCAGAGCCACAGGTCACTCAAGCAGCAAACAGCATGGCTTAAAGAGTGGGAACAAGAAGGTGTCACAAACAAAACCGCCTTCCCTTTCCCCAAACCACTTATCTATTGAGACCACAAAATATTAATGAGTTTACCAGCCCTCCAGAAATGAGGGCAGGTAACTGCAACTTTATAGAATTCAAGATCAAGTTTAACTCACATTTAACTCAGAAGAAAAGCCCGTTAGGATGACTCAACTCACTGGAGATACTGGAATATGTAATGAAAATGTACTTAAAAAAA